GTTCGATTTGACGTGGAATGCCCCTATATACTCAAAACGCGGAGATTTGCCTGCTAGAACTAGGAGCAGCACTTCCATTTCGGAATACAGAGCAGTGGCGCGAGTAGGGGCGGGGACAGGCGCTTCGGCCAAGGCAGGGTCGACTTCGCTATGTTAATATTGACATTTTGATTAAGATCAGTAGTGATTAGTACTAGTAGTGTTCGATTAGAAGTGTTATTGTCTGCTTTCTACGTGTTTCGAGCGGCGTCTCGTTTTAAGCGCCATAGCGCTTCTACGCCAATCGTAATGTTTCGACAAGTGTAAATATGGATGCTCAAATAAATCATCTCTCATCTCATCTCATCTCATCTCATCTCATCTCGCCCATGTAGGGGGGGGGGGGGTTGGTGCAACCCCCCCTGAGGCTTTTCGGAAATAGTGCAAAAACGGCGGCGCGCAGCGCCGCCAAATTTTGGGTACCTGATGGGGCAAACCTTGCGCATCTTTTGATAAAAAAATTTGACCGGGTCATGTCAGGTCACGGAGTTATGACGTCACAAAGGGAACAGCCTCCGGCCGGATTTTCACAAACTGAGTGCCAACGCCCGAGGTTTCCTGCCGGTGGTACGGACATCGGTTGATGGATCGTGATGAAACTTCCCATGCATGTTAATGCAAGTATTGGCTATCATATGGTATAAAAAACTTGACCGGGTCAGGTCAGGTCACGGAGCTATGACGTCACAAGAGGAACAGCGTCCGGTACTATTTTTGAAAAGCGCCCGAACCACTATTTTGCTAATTCTTGTCACCTCAATGGGAATATGCAGCAATATTAGCTTCTATAGGGAGCAAATGGACCTCCCAAATCCAAAAATACAATCAGATTTCAAAAATTTAAATTTTGATTTTTCGAATTTCTGCCGTCGACTGTGACCTTGCCGACTTCCGGCGCTCCCAACGCGCCATTTTTAAGAGCTAGGGAAACGAAATACATACCAAACGATAGAGAATTGATCAAGGAACACGATAGTGAAGGTTTCAAGTCGATATCTCCCACCGTTTTGCCGCAATCGCCGTGGAAAGTTGAAAAAAGTCTATTTTTCCGAAAATTTGACCTTTGACCGGTCAAAAGTAGGTCAAATGTTGACCTAGGACCAAAAAATATACCACCAATCGCGAGATCTCGGCGAGAGCAATCCGTTGGGCTTTTCCGCTAAGCTCCACGACGCTCCATTTTCAAACGCCAAGGGGGGTCGCACCAACCCCCCCCCCTGCATGGGCGAAGGTGGCAGATCGCCGTTTACGGGCGAGGGTTAACGACCCGGATCTGAAATTTTCACACGTGAGGAAAAGACTGAGAAGGGGAGGACACCATAATAGAGATCAACCTAGGGTAGGTGCCCCGTAACCCCGAAGGCCGAAATCTAGTTTTCACACTGGTTTTAGGCCACTTATACCTAATTCATCCCTTGGCTTTTTCAACCAAAAGAAAACATTTTCAAAAAGTGCCGTATTCCGTCTTAACCCGCACACCGACGGGGGGGGGGGGCGTGGCGAATATCCGCCCCCTGAGGTTTTTCACGTACGCGCAGAGAAATTTGGTATGACTTTTCTCTCATCAATTTTACACATGGTGTGCAAGTATGAACCTCCTAACTTTTAAGGTCAGGTCACCAGGACATTGAATGACCCAACCTCAAGTCACTTTTTTGCAACTTTGTCACCGTGTCAGAGCTACAGTAGATGACGGAGTCCTTTGAAAGTCGGAGAATGTTATTAGGTCATTAGTAGCTCCAATTTGTACATCTCGGAATTTTGATATCGATGACCTAAGGTCAGGTCAATTTCTCGACTTCCCCATTATAAGTCAATGGGGAAAAAACAACTCCTTGTTTTTCCACTAAAACGCGTCAGAATGGCCCCCATATACCATACATGACTTCATATACGATCAACCTTCACTACCTTGAGGCCTGTTTTGCTGTTGGGCAGCTGTAAGGTCATGTGACGTCATCAAAGGTCACCAAAGGTTTTTTTGCCAATAACTCCTTACAGGAACAAGATACAGCTACGTGGATGGTCTCATTGTGTTCAGCTCATCAAGGCGCATCGAATGCTATGCATGATGACCTCGAGGTCACGTGACCTGAGGTCAACCTTTGACCTTGACCTTTCGAGGTCAACATATATATGATTCGATGCGGATTGACGAGAGGATCACGATGGTGCCCTTAGTTTGCTTCTAGCTTCACCAATTCGAAAATTATTCGAGAAAAACACTCTCCATATCTAGCGCCGCCATTTTTGACCGCCGCCACTCGCCATCTAGCGCCACCGACTTTTTTTACCAACCTCTGTAACGTCATCTTTGACCTGACCTGAAAATGACCTACGTAAAAATTGTAGACCTTGTCCGTGCGCATCCCGTGCCGTTTACCACTTGTCGCTATCTTGCTTCGTTCTCGAGATCTCAGGGGGGGGGGGGCGGGGGGCGGTCATCCGCCCCCCGTCGCGTCGGTTTTAAGTTGGCGCAGACCCCCGTCGGTGCGAGGGTTAAAGTCATGGGTGGAGAACCTGCCCCGGCCACCCCGGCCGTGGCCGGGGTAACTTTCAGCCGACCCCGGCGCGGCCGGGGTAACTTTTTCCTCTTTTGTAAATCCTAAAAGCTGTCTCCATACGAAAAAAACTGCCATCTATAAAAGCGTCTCGCATTATTCTTATCTACCTTGAAAAGTTCTTGAAAATTTACTTTATTTTCATTTTGGAGCTTCTATGTTTTTAAGTCTTTTCACGGAGCCCGACATGTTTCATCAAACAGAAGTAAATCATATTTAAGGGCCGTTATCGTAAGATGGCACTGTAATAACATTACAAGACAGGACGAGGGTAATATCAGTGAGATAGAAGGACGAGCTGCTGGGGCTCAAGGCTCCCCCAACTTAACCCGCGCCAGGGTGGTGGCCTTATCGTCGGAACGACGTTTGAAAGAGCGACAAACGTGATCAGAGAAATCTGGTCATGTTTTAGGCAAGCTCAATAATAAAATCACCATAGATCATCAAAAGCCAAATTTCTTTGAATTTAGCGTTCTCCGACAACTTTTCTCACAGTTCATGAACATAACGGAGCTTCAACACTGCAAACAAAACATTCGATTACTCGTTTAAGGCTCGGTCGCGAATAATATTTCAGGTGCGAGCTCAAATCAATAAGGGGGTCAAAACGGTCAAATTTGACATTTTGTTTTGTGTGGGGGTTGCAACTTCCAAGGAATAAGCTTTGCATAAAGGGCATGACGGCATTTTTAGCACGATCATCCAGCAAATTTGACCTGATGACCTGACCTAGCACTAGGTGACATGCGTCCGAAATTTTAAGGCGTTTTGCAAAATTGTTGTTACAATTACGAAATCTTCCGCACCTGCGTGCAGCAGGTTTCCCTAAAAACGTACAAACGGCAGACATCCATTATTCTATGCCACAGAATAGGGGTTTGTTGATAACCGTTGACAAATATTTGAGCATCATCGTCTTTCTGACTTTCGGTCACCGGCCGGGGTAACTTTTTCAAACATTCTCCACCCGTGGTTAAAGTTGTGGGGGTACCGCCCCCAAGGCACCAGAGCTGGGGGGGGGGGGGACAACTTGCCCTCACTGCCGCCCCGGTTCCCGCGCTATGGGCTGGGGCAGGCCTGTGGAGTCGGTCTTCTGAGTCAGAGACTCAGTCGATTTTGGAAGCAGGTATCAGATTCGGAATCGGAATTCGGAGTCGCCGAAAATCTATCGACTCCGTAGTTCTGCCTATGCGAGGGGGACGAACCAAGGCCATCTATAGAAGGTACAGTCACTCCCCCGCCGACCAATCAGAGACAGATCCTGAGTGACGTCATCCCTGATGCTCGCAAGGGGTACTCCATTCCTTTGCAACGTAAAAATGACTAATTTCATTTGAAGATTATTGATGGCAATCTACACATACCGCTCAACCGTTGATGTCAATGGAAAGCCCAACTAATTTTCTAGCCACAAAAAAGAGCAGCAATATGCTAAGAAATGGCCGGTTTTCAAGATATAGACGATTTATGAACCCTCTGCAGCAGCAGGAAAGCAACGTAAAAATGCATCGAGCTTTTATTTTTACTATGAATAAATCATTTTTCAGTAAGTTTTTAAATATGTTACAGATTTAAGTTACAACTTTATTACAATATTTTCATTATTTGAAACTTTATTTAAAAATAATATTTTCAAAAACACTAGCTGCTGGCAAGTAGCTTGGCAGCGATTGTGGCGCACCGCGCCATTAATTGTCCTGAGACCCCCTTATGATGTCATCAAAAGTGGAGTGACATGGGCCTGGGACGAACATCATGCAATGATATGTCTGCCCTGGATATGTCTTTGTTCCCGGTTCGGGTTCCGTGTGTTTGAACAAGTGTTTGAATAGGTTGAATGCAAGGTTGAATGTAAAGGAAACGGTAGGGGAAAACTTCGCTCTGTCATGGAAATTCTTTGTTTGGCACATTCATAGAAGGCATATGCAGCGCGACTGCTACGAAATGAAATTCACACAAGTGTAGGTATATTTTTGGTGAACAGGGTGAGAACATCAACATCGTATGCCTTGAGTGTTGGACACATTTTTGATCTTTAGAAACCCGACGTTGTTGCTGATAAATCGAAGAACAGTTTAACAATATAAAATTGCCAATTGGTAAGAATTCACCTTCAACATCTGATCTACTTCGTTTGAATCCTTCCATCTCGTCCATTACACGGCTGCACTCGAGGCCATTGTTACAAGATACGCGTGCCACATGGTCACTAGCCCCGCGTTCGATGTCTCTCGGACGGCGAAGATTCTACGCCGTCCGGCCAATCACGTTCCATAAACGCAGCCGAGCCCCCACTGACCTTGAACGGGATAGGCCGGACGGCGTAGAATCTTCGTCGTCCGAGAGACATCGAACGCGGGGTAGATGTTCGTCGTCGCTCTTTCTCCATCCGATGTATACACATCTGGAACGGCCTCCCAGAAAACGTTGTGACCGCACCTGTCTTAACTAGCTTTAAAGGAAATAGTTCACTTTTAACATGGGGTTTTGAACTGGAATAGCAGTTTCGTAGCTTGAGCTGAGACTAGCTCAAATCAGGAGCTTTTACGGCTCAACGATCACCCTAGACGAAGATATTCCATTTCTCGTTCCGAAAAGAGTGCCTTGCAGAGGAATGCGTGCCTTGCACAGGAATGCAGCCACGTCATCGTCAGCCAATCAGCATGCTGCTTACAGCCAATGCAGTATGCGTAGGTTTGAATTACGCGATATGATTGGTCAACGCGTAATAAGCTTCCGCCTCAAACATTATTTTACATAGAATATAGTTCGTCCTATATTAAAATATAGAAAATAATTGTTTTTACAAAAAGGTTTTACTTTCTTTCATTATCATTTTGAGCATAAAAAATCATAAATCAATAGCAAAATACTAATTTCAGGAAAGTGAACTGTTTCCTTTAAGAGGGCCTTGGCCGATGCGTTTCGTGACGAACTGTACCAGCCTTCGGAGTAGTTGATGATGAGCAACTTCGTGTCAAATATTCTTGATTCGCATGTATTTTTTCGTATGAGCTATTTATGTGGATGCTATAACTCCAGTTGCTATCTAACCCCTCTTTACTCGCGAATTCTTATCTCAACTGGCGCATCCTTTGATCCTGGGTTCCCTTGCCTTGACTATCCTTAGGGCTGTCAGGCTTGGTGAACCCTACCAGGTGAGAATACCAGGTGAGAATACACAATAACGCCGAACGGCAAGGTTCCCGCTCCAGGCCTTGCCAATTCCGCCAGTTCAAGTTCAAGTTGACATTATTGCTGCTTCAGCTTTTTGACCATGTCAGTGTCATTTTCCACTGAAATGAGATTGAAAATTGTAGAAGCATGGCAATGGGTTCAACAAGATGCAGCACCTAGGTGGCAAAATCATACCAGCATGCATCTGATGACTGATAGTACTTAAACTTTTGCTATAAAATCAAAAAACTTCACTTGTGGTGAAACAAAACTGAAATAGAGTTAAATTCTTCCCATTCTGATCCTGTTATATCTCCTGTGCAGTTGTTTCAAATAATATTGTACTATCACCCGCAGCACTCAGTTCAGCACGGTACCAGTACCACCAAGGGCCCGCACAGCTCCATACAAATTTTGTGCCATACCTTGGTAAATCAGTAGTCAGTACTGTACAGCACAGCCACAATAGCAAAGACCCTGGACCAATGGGATCTTGTTGAGATATCCATACTCTGCTGGCTGGCTCACATTAATACAGATATGTATGTATGTATGTATGTATGTATTGACGATCAAGAGCAATCCACAATCCGTGTGGCGATTACACTCCGATTGTGGATAACTCTGATTGGAGATAAGCCATTGCATATAGATATTTGTAATTAAGACCCTGATAATTTGGTCCTGTTTTGTGTGCATGTTTATTTTATGCTGAATATGAAGATTCCCTTTGAACAGATTTTATCAGTATTTTTTTGTTATTTTCACTTGAAAAATATTTTAAACATAGAGTCATTGAATATTGAGTCATATACTTATTTACCTAACAGCTTCCTGAATCCTGTGCATAAGAATTTGTGACATATGAGGATGGGTTTAGCCTGTTTCCTTTTATTAGACATCTTTGAACAAATTGTTATTAAACTGCAGTGCAATAATAACTAATTAATTGATTTTCTGGATGGGTAAATGCCCACAGTGCCATCACTTATCAATTATCATACACATTTTTGTAGGTACTTATGTCATGTGCATATCTTAATTAGATGTTCACTATTCTCAAATTGAGTTGACACTTTATATATATGACGATAATGAATGGATTGTAATAACAATGGTTTCTAAGAAGAATGCAGTTGTTTATTTTCACAAACATGATTGGGTGTGTTGAATGAAACATCCCTATGTTTCATTGACCTCAATTTGTTTTTTCACCTAAGTTCAAGTGTATGCTTTTGTCCTCTCCTAATAACATAGTGAGTGCCTTATACATGTGCGATATGATTAACAATTTCCATCACGCTACGCAATGTTTGTTTTGTTACATAAAGCCATTGTGCGACTCGTGTCGTTTTTCTCCGGCAGACCTCTGACGAGTATAGGAGGAACTACAGCTTTGATCAGCGCCCACCAGGTGTCAGTAAAGTGGCAGTGATGGCGTCCGGCAGCACCTCGGGCACCAGCCAGTCGGCGGTCGCCTTTCGCCGCTGGGAGATGGACAATAGCATGCAGATCGTCAATGCAGTCGACGAGGTGTACCGGTTCGACCAGAAGCAGCAGCAGGATATTCTCACGGCTAAACCCTGGGAGAAGGAGTGAGTGCACTTGTATCATTGCTAGGGGTGACCTGAGCCTTTTACTGGAGAGTTCGTCATGGGACAGTGATTTCCGACGCCAAAAGCAGAGTTATTAAGAATATTATTATACCATGTGCCTTTGATATCAAGGCAAACTTAAAAGATATTCATTGGCTCTGAGGAGATTTAGATTTTTGGGTACCCTGCGTGAATATAAATGTGTCGCTTCTTCCACTAGAACCCCTTCTAATTAATTTCCCCTATCGACAGTCCGCACTTCTTCAAGGAGATCAAGATTTCAGCGCTGGCCCTGCTGAAAATGGTGATGCACGCTCGCTCGGGAGGCACGCTGGAAGTAATGGGCATGCTCATCGGAAAGGTATGTCGTTGCACCAGGTTATCTCTTGTGCATTCCTTCACAAGTTCGCTAGCCTGATCATAGCTGAAGCCTGCAGGTACACCAATAATGATGTTAAATTACTCCTCAGTGATTTGCTGCTAGGGTCGTGCGTCATTAATGTCCAGATCACGAAGTTTCGTTTTGCTCTTATGTGTACGTACATTCATTTGCATTTTTGAGTTTACTTGTATACTCGTATGTTGTGTTTTTATGTGTTTTATTTGGTAAGCTCGTCGTCTTTGGCCGACCCCCACTAAATGCTCGTATAGCTGTTACCACGCCAACGAGTGCCTCAACGTATAGATTATATCGCCTCCTCCATCTCGTCTCCACTGACTACTCCCTTCTATCGTCTCTCCAGACTCGTCTTCACTTCTCAATGTCAACTCCTTCTCAAAGTTTCCCTTCAAATCTGACACCTTCGTGACGGTCTCTCCAGGTGGACGGTAACATTATGATGGTGATGGACTCGTATGCGCTGCCCGTGGAAGGCACTGAGACCCGTGTGAACGCGCAGGCTCAGGCCTACGAGTACATGGCGACCTATATGGAGCGGGCCAAACAGGTATAGTTGGCTGGCTGCGGCCGTGGGAGGGGGTGATTGGTGTCGTGTGAGGTGATGGGTTCAGAAAAGTCTGGAATGAAATCTATTGGACATCTAGGGATTGGTGTTTTTCTAATGTATATGTAGTGGTGCTCGACTTACATTATCATATGCCTCGAAAAATAACGATAATAACGAAAATAACGTAAAACTATCTTTACCCAAGGGTGTTCATGTTTCATCAACATTTAATTTTCCCCGTCATTCTTCCACTGTTTGCCTATCTGCTACCCGAGCAGCCAATCTCCCATGTCCCCCGCCCCTCCTTCCCGACCCCACTCTGCCCGACCTCCTCTGACCTGATCCCTCTCCCCACCCTCTCCGACCTGACCCCTCTCCCCTCTCCCCTCCCGCAGGTTGGCCGACTGGAGAACGCCATCGGCTGGTACCACTCCCACCCCGGCTACGGCTGCTGGCTATCCGGAATCGACGTCTCCACGCAAATGCTCAACCAAAACTTCCAGGAGCCGTTTGTGGCTATTGTCATTGACCCTGTGCGGACCATCTCAGCTGGAAAGGTCAACCTGGGCGCATTTCGGACGTACCCTAAGGTGAGTGAGGTGTACAAGCTCGGGGAGGGAGGGACGGTCTTTACGCGTCGATAAGTCGGTATTAGCAATCTCAGCTAGTTAAAAACAACCGTGATATATGTGAAATCCAACGGGGTGGGGTCTCACCTGATAATGCTCGGTGTACCTCTTTCTGAATTCTGATTCGGTGTTTTAATTTAGCTCTATCCGCGGTAATACAAGCAAAGTGAGCAACATGTTTTATCAAACTCTCCACTGATCCCGCCCCTTCTCCCACCATCGCAGGGCTACAAGCCGGCTGACGAGGAGCCATCCGAGTACCAGACGATTCCTCTGGAGAAGATCGAGGACTTTGGCGTCCACTGCAAACAGTACTACTCCCTGGACGTGTCCTACTTCAAGTCGGACCTGGACCGGCGGCTGCTTGACTCGCTGTGGAACAAGTACTGGGTGAACACACTCAGCTCATCAAACCTGATCACGGTTAGTAGCGCTGACTGTGTGGGGAGGGAGGGGGAGGGGAGCTGACCGGTCGGTACCGCTGCGGTGGGAGGGGGGGGGGGGGCAGACATTGACCGCGGATCCGTAGACCGGTCTGTGCTAGCTGAATAGTTTGGGGATTAAGTGTAATTATGCGGCGGTTATTTGAGGGTTATCTGCTTGCATGGTTTGTAAGAATGTTTTTTTCGCGATTGACAGTGCACAGCGTTGGAGCTTCCGTTTTGAAAGACTAAAAATTGTCTTGTTACGGAGCGAGCGAAGCGAGCGGAGTCTCATACTGAATTAAGGGAAAATCCTGAGTATGAGCGGCCGGCCGGCCGTGGGGACGCTCTTCAAAAGCTAATATCTTAGGAACGGGACATCCGATTGACAAGCGGTCTTCTTTACTGAATGTCACTTGGACGTAAAAGTTATGTGGTGTGATGGCCACCATGCGTTCTTGCCAAACACCGCACGTGGCGCGTGGTAAAGTTGGACATTTTTTAAGAACCCCCAAAATTGCAACCTCAATAACGGCACAACGGTTGGGCCGATTGAATTGAAACTCGGTACACAGTTAGGTCTCCATCAGATAATGCATCTGCATGTGTTAAGGTTGGGGTGCTACAGCACGTGCGCACGTGCAGGGGGCGCTCCCAGATCTCGAGAACGGCTGGGCCGATTGCGCTCAAATTTGGTACACGGTTGGGGACCAGTTAGTAGGGTGCCGTGCAAAAGTCAGTTTGGACCCCGCTTGCACGTGCGCACGTGCAGTGTGCCGCTTCCAGATCTCGAGAACGGCTAGGCCGATTGCGCTGAAATTTGGCACATCGCTAAAGACCGGTTAGTAGGGTGCAGTGCACAAGTTAGTTGGAGGTACCCCCTCGCAATTTCGCACGTGCAAGGCCCATCCTCTCGCTCGCTCCGTTGGTCGCCCAAAAGGCGTTTTACTGGTGGTAGCGTGGTGTCATTAATTCCCCACTAAGTCATTCTTTTTCCTATGGCCAGATTTTTGGTTGTGGAATTACTGATATCCTTGTCCGCCACACTAACTAGGAATTTATAGATATAACAGCATTACATGATTATGAAATGGGCCCCATAACAGTTGCTATAACATATGTAAATTGTTTCTTCACAAGAAACCTTACTTCTTCCCTCGCAAGTGGACTATTTTGTTTCAATCTCGCCCCTCTAAGTGCAATGTGCCTGACAACATTACGTATTTTGACTCTGCACATTGCCGTGGTCAAATTGACCGCACACCTTTTTAACTAATCGATATCGATCGCAAAACTTTTGCTGCCTTATTTTTAACAGAATGTTTGGGACTGGTGCTGCCCTCACATGGTATTTAGTTATTTTTATTTACTATTAACCCTAGAACGCCTAGGGGGGGGGGGGTTGTATCAACCCCCCCTGAGGTTTTTTCGAAGTGCACGCTAAACGGCTTGTCGTAGCGGGCTGAAATTTTCAATACCCTCTGGGGCAACCTTTGCGCATCTTTTGCTGAAAAAAATTGATCGGGTCATGTCAGGTCACGGTGTTATGACGTCATAAGAGGTACAGCCTCCGGCCGGATTTTCACAAACTGAGTGCCAACGCCCGAGGTTTCCTGCCGGTGGTACGGACATCGGTTGATGGATCGTGATGAAACTTCCCATGCATGTTGGGGCAAGTATTGGCTATCATATGGTATAAGAAATTTGACCGGGTCAGGTCAGGTCACGGAGCTATGACGTCACAAGAGGAACAGCGTCCGGTACTATTTTTGAAAAGCGCCCGAACCACTATTTTGCTAATTCTTGTCACCTCAAGGGGAATATGCAGCAATATTAGCTTCTATAGGGAGCAAATGGACCTCCCAAATCCAAAAATACAATCAGATTTCAAAAATTTAAATTTTGATTTTTCGAATTTCTGCCGCCGACTGTGACCTTGCCGACTTCCGGCGCTCCCAACGCGCCATTTTTAGAGCTATTGAAACGAAATACATACCAAACGATAGAGAATTGATCAAGGAACACGATAGTGAAGGTTTCAAGTCGATATCTCCCACCGTTTTGCCGCAATCGCCGCCGAAAGTTGAAAAAAGTCTATTTTCCCGAAAATTTGACCTTTGACCGGTCAAAAGTAGGTCAAATGTTGACCTAGGACCAAAATATATACCACCAATCGCGAGATCTCGTTGAGAGCAATCCGTTGGTTTTTTCCGCTAAGCTCTACGACCTTCCGTTTCGAAACGCCAGGGGGGGGGGTCGTAACAACCCCCCCCCCCTGGTCGTTCGTGTTATGAGAAATGGCCTGGTCGTGCGAGGGTTAATATAGGAGCAAACAACCTTATAGTCGACGCGCCCGTAAACCGCACTGATTAACCTGTTAGTATACAACTATACAAGTCACCTGTTAGGAAGCTTTTAGTATCGATTCTCTTTTCACATTCTCTGTAACATGGCCTGTGGCTACTTTGGCGAGCAGCAGGCGTGCGCAACTTATTGGTACGATTCTGTGTGTTGGCTTTGAGCTGGCACTCACCCGGTGATCAATGGTAATGCCTCCTCCAAAAGCAGCTCAATGCCTGGTATCAAGCACCTCAGCCCGTGACAGCTCCCCGCCACCTACCCGGTTATTTGGCTGTCTGGTTCCGCTTCGGAACAAACATGGTAACTGGTCAGTAGGTATGTGTTCACGAAGACAGTCTGCAAGCCGTAATCGACGATCTGGTGCTTTCAGGTGTGTCTTGTTGCATCGAAGAACATTCGCTGTATTATAGGGCAAACTAGGTAGTGTCGCTTTTGTTCCACGTTACTGCAGCCTGTAGCGTGAAGAGGATATCCAGGGGTCTTTGGTAGCCCAGCGGTGTAGCATCATAAGGTATACTTTATTGCCTTCCTCATAAAAGAGGACGATTTTTTCATTGATGTATTTTACAAAGAGGGTGACACACAGTTATAAGAATCATGTAGGTAATCGTTCCCTGCTCGTACAATGCCACAGTCGTGTGTCTCTTACTTTGGCGTATGCGAGCGAACGCTGTCAGCTGCAGCTATGGTTTTGACAGATGTCTTGATGGACATATCGATCCATTGGTCTAGTTCGCTGGGTTTATGAGCGGTCCTGAACTACGCTGCCGGCAGTTTGTGCTCTGCATATGCTCGATTCAAAGGAATTTCAACGATGCTAAAACTATGTACTGAATATGTAGCTTTACCAAGCAAGTAAAACATTTATGTGCATTTTCATACCCTGGTGAGTTGCAGCTCGGCTACGAAATAGATACACATGGAATGTGAATTATGGGAATATGACCATCATTATACGAGCTCGTACGCTATAACGGCTTCAGCGACCTTTGCTGACATTCGTATATGTTGGATAACTTTTATAGGTATTTTGTGTTTGTTTCCAACTACAGATATTTAAACCAATGGTTAAAAAGCAAGACAAGTCACGCAAAACTAGTTAGATGTTGTCATTCGTCTCTCTGCCGTGTCCATTTGAGACATAAGCCACAGAGTGTTTGATCTACACATCGCTGCCTTTATGACATGCTGGGGCGGCCGAACTTTGTGGATCAACTTTATGTGGAGTGCTGAGTACTGTTTGCTGTCAGAATCCATTACCAGCGGTCTTTGAACGAGCTGTCACCGGGCCGCAAAACGGCGACGAGAATAGGCTAGGGCGCGTCATGCAAACGACGAGCTGTCTGCACAGCAGCAGCGGGCTAGTGGGCGACGTTTAGAAGTGATAGTTTTTTTTTTTTTTTAGATGGACCCAATATTTTTAGAGAATCGATATCATGTAACTCAAGATATATGATGTTTGGAAAATTCAGCACTGTGGCTAGGGGACCAAACGACGGTGGATGGAGGGAATCTTTGCCGCTGTACATAGTATAGTTGATGATATTGAGCTGGGACAGGGGTAGGTATTGTTTGGTTAAATATAACACCAGCTTTGCTTATTTTCTATGTTATCTTTCGGAAGACATTAGTCTGCTTCGCAATCTGTCTAAAGCACTAAATAATACATATGACGACCAAAATAGAAATGGCAATGGAAATCATGCCCGTCTGCAGTGCTGACAACCAAAATGTTTATCTTTTGAAAATAAGAGGGTGGCGTAAATTACGAAGCGTGACAGGGTAGTATCAAGCTTCATTGTCAGCTAGTATGGCGTGTCATGATTATTTGACGTGATAGGATATGGTCATGTTTTTATGGATCCAACTAGGGTCAAAGGACCAACTTCAAACAGGCTCCATCAACCGGTTTATCGAGACTATATTTTGCCACTGCTGGCTGCGTCCCTTTTTATTCTGCCGGTCAAACTGCATTCCCATGATTGTTTTTCGTCTCACTATCAGACAAGACATACACAGTTTTACTGGGATGATTAAATGCGCCTGCTTCATCAGTCCAATTATATTTCCTGGCCAGTAGCGGCGGAACACCTTCAATTAAAGGGACCCTCCCACCTTCAAAAAAGTTAATGAATTGGCATGAAAGTGATGTCCCTTGGTTCAGAAAGAGCGAAAACAAATATCTACCAAATTTCACCGAAAAATATTCACTGGTTTTCAAGATATTAGGCTTTTACTTTTGTTTACTTTTTGGGATCTCCCCTGTTACTAGCGACTTTATTTGGACGCAATAATTTGGCAGCCTTAAAGTGCGGCAGACGTTGCGCGCAAAGCAGCGTATACCACCACGTGTTAACGATGGTTTTAGTCTAAGATTTAAAAATCGTTAGATCTCCGCTGACGTCACAAATTCTAAGGGGGCATTCCAATGCATTAGCCCCTTAGAATCCGAAAACTGCAAGTTTGAAATTCCATATCTTCGAATTAAAGCATTTTTCGATGTTGTGAGTGCCCAAACCGGTATTTGCAGGCCATGGCCACCAATTTGGCTATCTCAACTCAAAACTAATGTTAAGGTGGGAGTGTCCCTTTAAGGGGGGTGGGTGGGTGCACTGCCAACTTTTGGTCCCATTTTTTCCATGCAACGCCCATAGGGCTAAAGTGAAATTGCCAAAATCAAAGGGGGGCACGGTGCCCCGGTGCCCTTCCCGTTCCGCCGCCTATGTTGCTGGCGATGACTATGATAATTTCTTACATTATCTCTGAGCAGACGCAATTTCGTGCTGTCATTGCGCTTGTGAAATGGCTGCCATTTGGGAAAACCGAGTCGTTGTTAGCGTTCCCCTGCCTTCTGGAGTGGCAAATTATGGGTTTCGTGTCCGCTCTGGTTACGGTAGCTGGGGTCATGGCTGCACTAATTTAACGGCATAACGAGGGGGTGATCATAGGACCTCGCAGGGGTGCCTATAGTAAAATGTGGTTTCTTGGCATGGCTGGGATTCTGATACTTTTGTGGCAGCCATTTCCATTGTTTGGGCGTTTTTATTTACGTAAAGGTGCTTAAATGTGACTACACTTCTTTTTCGGAATGCACTTTCAAGATCTAAATAATCATTCTTTATGGGTATTCCACTAGTAATTAATAAAATAGGTATCGATATAGGTATATTGATAGCTTTAGAATCGATAAAAAGATGACAGCAGCATCAAGATGCGCAGTTTCAGAGGACTGCAAGACACCCAACCCATGCTGTTAAATGCTATCATTCTCGTCGGTAATTTATTCAGTGGCCGATCAATAACTAATTGCCTTAAGTGGCACTGTCTCAATGATGAATGACAAAGCATCTCTCGGTTCGTAGGCTTGTGAATTAACTACGAACTTGATGCCATGCTGCCCTTCAGAAATGTCAAATATATGGTAACTGAAATTATTCGGCGTCTATGCGAGTTTTGTGTTGTAGATGATGGTTTCTAGTGGGACTAAAAAAGTTAAGTACGTTTAATTAGTGTATTTGCCATCTAATCCAATACAAATGCACCGGATGTGGAGTTCGATCTCATTTCATACGATGACACTGGGACTGTGGGAGTGTGTAGCAACTAGCAGCGCCTATGCGTATGATGTAGATTGATTGCAGGTTGTCTTTACCGCATTCCTTTCTAAATTGATGTCTATATAATGAGAATATTTTTAGGGAAGCGAATATGTCATGCGTAATAGAGGGATGGGGTAGGAGAAAATAGATTTTTTACACCTACACAACATAACATCAAAGCTATGCTCCTGTTCGTCCCATTTTCTTTACACTTTTTACCTTCACTCAGATGCATGAAGAAACGAAAACGCAAACTTTACGCCCATCGCCCTTCTGCGTTTGTGCGTACCGTTGACAGCACTGCGCGTCAGCTGCAAACACAGCTAATGAACAGATCTGCTGTGACGTAAACTGACGGTGACGACGGACGGAAACCATGCTCCGCGGACACCCTCTGTCGGTGTCCGGATCCCGCGAGGCCTGTATCCTGTATCCCTAGCTCTGTGGCGGTGTTTCAGAGCTCCCATGTTCTCTTGTCACGTTGACCTGACGGTTCACGGAATCCCTACGGTCCGTGACCTTTTCTATCGCCGTGGTGGGATATGATACCGTCTGGACTGAGTCTTGGTGCTGCCGAGAGATGGTACCGAGAATCCCAGTCAGTGTCCTAAAATTTGTCGATTTGGGTGGGAAACAACATCCAAATGATGACCATTTTCCACTCTCATTTCAAATCTTTGAGAGCGATTTTCCACTCCCAACCTCAAAAACGAGGAGTATCTGCGTGCATGGTCGTAAACATCATATTGAAACATGTAATACAAGCTACATTCTACCACATGTGTGTGGTGTTGCATGCTATCAATCCGTGTTCCCTTCATTCTTACCACTCCCACCTGTTTTTAGCTTTACCCGACCGGCAATTTTCCACTCTCATCTCCCTAGTAACTGAATAATTTACCCCTCCGACACCCAAACCAAAATATAATTCTGGGACACTGATCCCAGTGGTAATGGTAGTGTGGGTTCCGCAATCCGCATTTCACAGGCTGGGTTACATCGTGGTGGCTGTTCTGGCACCTTGGTGGCCGCTGTCATGACAGGTGGTATATCGCTGTTGGCTCTCATGACACCTGTCATTTTGGGAACTGTAATAGCGGTAGTCGTCAGCCGCCGGCCGCTCTTCTTAGACCTGTCACCGCCCGGGTGCTGCCATGACGGTCATCACCGCTCGGGCGCTGTCATGAGACAGTTGTCGGTCGGGTGCTGCCATGACGGTCATCACCGCTCGGGCGCTGTCATGAGACAGTTGTCGGTCGGGTGCTGCCATGACGGTCATCACCGCTCGGGCGCTGTCATGAGACAGTTGTCGGTCGGGTGCTGCCATGACGGTCATCACCGCTCGGGCGCTGTCATGAGACAGTTGTCGGTCGGGTGCTGCCATGACGGTCATCACCGCTCGGGCGCTGTCATGAGACAGTTGTCGGTCGGGTGCTGCCATGACGGTCATCACCGCTCGGGCGCTGTCATGAGACAGTTGTCGGTCGGGTGCTGCCATGACGGTCATCACCGCTCGGGCGCTGTCATGAGACAGTTGTCGGTCGGGTGCTGCCATGACGGTCATCACCGCTCGGGCGCTGACATGACGGTCGTCACTCGGGCTCTGTCAGGGCAGTCGTCACCAATTAGACGCTGTCACACTCACGACCCATCGCCCCGCAGCCACTCGTCCGCCGTATTCTGTCCAGCGTAGATATTGAAGAAAGCCCTAGCCGACGGGAAGTGATTACATGAGCGCGGTCCCCTCATCGTCAGCCACGCCTCCGTGACCTGGGTCCGCGACGGATCTTGGACGGCCATTAGGACGTGCCGACATGCTCGTAAGACCAGGCACGTGATTGGTGTACCGCGGTGGTAGACTGCGCACGAGGCCGTTGGTAAACACTGCTGCTTGGTACGAGCAATGTCTGGTGCGAGGTGTATCTTGGTTCGAAAATCCTCAGCTGACGGGTTGAAGTGGGAGTGAAAAAGAGTGTCAGGACTTCTCGCTGATAAGGGACTGTCGACTGACCCCATTTGATTGGTCTACTGAAAGGAATGCCCGATATGAGAACCGATATGGGTATGTATTTGGCTTTAGTAACGCTCCTGTTTGAACTTTGAGGTTTCGCTACCCGGTGTTCCTATCTCATCTCTTTATCATCAGGCGACGTGCCTTGAGCGGCGCGGGTAGGCTATCGCCTATATTTTCACAAGAGGGGAGGCGCAATGGCTCAAAGTCAGGATGGCCGAGCGGTCTAAGGCGCTGCGTTCAGGTCGCAGTCTGGTTCTCCAGGCGTGGGTTCGAATCCCACTTCTGACAAATCTATTGCGTCTGAACGGTCAGTGGTCACTGGTCAGTGGTCATTGGTCACAATGGGTGTCCTTGACCTTGTCTGCGTGGGGCTTCGCGCTCCAGCCGCATTGATCGACCGGTGGAGTTTGGACACAAATGTTTGTCAGTAAAAATAATGCGTTAAGTTTTAGAGTATATCTTTGGTCACACGGTGACCTCGTGAATAGGTCAGGTCAAGCTGCTTTGACCGGGTTATTCCAAGCATTCATTGCCCTAAATATGAGCATGTTGTGCGCGCTCTAAGAAAGCAATGCTTAAGATTTTAGTATGCGGACCGGTTCTTCTGAGATCATCCATATTTTCGTCTACTTGGGCTTTGACGTGGTGCTTTGCTGACTCCGTTCAGTAACCTTATATCACTTAATCGGTGACCCGAAACTGTCCGGGTAGGTATGTTTCGAAATAATTGTCACAAGTTGTGTGACACAATCTGTTCAGTGTATCCAGAGCTATTTGCGAAGACTCTGTGACATTGCGTCAACCCCGTATGCCAGATATTTGCTCTAAGAACAGGCGTCATAACACGCTCTATTTCGTATATAACCAGGACTGAATTGATGAAGTGATGGTCACACTCGTAAGTCACATTGTTTTACTGATAGTTACACGTGTTTGAAAGGATGATGATGAATTATGCTAAAGAATAGAGTTGTATTGTTTGGGGGAGACGCCACGCCTACATGTCGAGTGTACAGTGAGATGAGGGGACATTTGAACGATTGGATAGTACGGGAACCGTAGAGGAAGATAGATTTGGATGCGAAGATCAACACCCACTCGTGTCGAAGTCGACATTTATGATCCGTGCTTTTGTCGCCGACATGGGCAGATTTTGTACTTTTCTTACTTCCGAGGGTAATAAGAAAGTTTCAGATTATCAAACTGACTCTAGTTGCGCGTATACCAATCCCGTCATTTCGTCCCTAAGAACTGCGTTGTTGAGCTGGAGCACCTACCCCAGACAGCATGACGGTGTCCGACACAAGCCGACGTGCAGCGCGCGCTAAAAATGGCGCGCCGTAGCTCACTGTATCTGATGGACGATGAACGCACGGCCGTGCACCGTCGACAGCATACATTGCCTTACAGCTAGCCTGCTCTGCACTGTGCACAAGGGTTCTGGGCGTGTCTGCCGTATGCGCTCTGCACACCGTCAAAATATTCATTGAATCGGTGCGTGCAGGCCGCACGGGTCGAGTGTGCCCGCTTCAGGCGCAGCGCGTGATCTGTAGACATATCGACAACGCTAGGCTTGCTGTCTGCTGACGAGACAGTCATATTGGTCGATCATTCATTCGTGTAGCAATGTATGATCACCACCCTTGCTGGAAAGGATTGCTGTCCGCTTGTTTAGGACTTTATCGAGATCATATCGAAAGATTATCGGCTGCAATTTTTGTTGTCGCCTTAAGACCTACATTGCTTTGTTTTGTAAACAGGTTTTTGCTCCTGACTGAAGTGCCACTGTGCCTACTTGCATAAACATGCGTTGTATTTTCGAAACTACGTCAGTAACTACCGTGCAGATTCCTTTCTACGTTCCTTGCCGCCTTACCTACTCTGCGCCCCGATAAAACTACAGTCACACCTCCCCCACGCTCCACATGTGTCGGTGCCAGCTCAACAAACACGTCAGCTCCCCGGCCGCGCCTGACGACTCCACATGTTACAGAATGCCGAGTACACGACCAACCAGATACGCGACCTGTCCAGCAAGCTCGAGGTGGCGGAGAACTCGTGCACCAGAGCCTCCTACACCGGACCCGTGGCGCCAGATGTGGTAAGGAAGTCTGACCCTCGCCGACGATCTGTATTTAGACTCACTGGGGTTGTTTAATGGACTGATACTGGTTATGAATGTTGTTTGACTTCGTGGCCTCGGTGATGTTTTGCAAAATAAGTTGTTTTGGAAAGTGGGTTGGCCCCGCCTAGTTCCCAGTGGCATTTGCTGCATGTAACCGCCGCTAGGTGTTTTGCTGTTTGTTCCCAAAGGCCTCGACTGCTCCCGTCGGACTTTTCCAAGCTGCGTGTTTTGAAGTGAAATATAACCGGGCGCCCATCGCATGTAATATTGTACTGCTTATTTTCAACTTAACGCTCCTTTTACCCATGGAACCAATGTTCTATGCAAGCGTGATGCATCTTATGTCAGCGTTAAAAACAGTAGTGATGCTCGCCAGAGTTGTCGGCGATGATATATCTTGCTGACGGCTGCAAAGATCAGTTTATAAAATATTCCCTGAGAAATGGCTCTGCTGCTGTTCTGGAATTACTACGGTGCCAGCTTGTTTGACAGTGCTTTGTCTTCTTGATGGCTGCCACTTGCTGAAAACATGCCTGCGCGGTTACCGCATTCCCACGCGCTTTATCACTTCTGCGGCAAAGTTATGACGCTGCTTTCTCTGCAATCCGTTTTAAACCAACCTGCTCCCACCATATCAAGCTGAGCAACACTGCTGACTCTTCTCTGCCGTCGCCCTGCAGGATAAGCCGATGGAGGACAAGCTACTGAAGGCGCACAAGGACACAGAGCGTACCACCATTGAGGTCATCCACGGCCTGATGGCACAGGTCATCAAGGAGCGCGTCTTCAATCAGGTGTCGCCGCCCACCGTGCAGTGACTGCTCAGTGAACGCGCAGTGAACGTGCAGTGAACGCGCAGTGAACGCACAGTGACCGCGCAGTGAACGCAGTGACCGCGCAGTGACTGGAGTGAACAGTGAGTGAACTGGATTCGCAGTGACATGGCTAACCGCCCAGTGACCGAACCGAGCAGTGTCACTGTAGTGATGACACTAACTGTGCAGTGACTGGTCCGCGGGTGGTTTTGCTGCGATGTCCACTGTGATGAACGGTAGTCTAAACTTGCTGAAGTTCCCAGCTGAGCCTGCCGAAGCGGTGGATGAACGAAGTCCCGTGTTGCGACCGAGCGCTGCACAGTGACCCGTCGCCCGGTCTCTCGTCTGTGTCATTGGCGACGGGCCACTGTCTCAATGTTTGTGCTCTGTGCTCCGTTTTCCGTATCTCATTTCTATACACACATGCAGCGAGTGCCCCTGATCCGCTGCCGGGACTGGGCGGGTGCTGGGGCGGCGCCAGCGGACTCCCATGCGACAGCGACCGATCAGATACGCGGTCGGCCCGCGGGACATGGGCCAATATAGGCGAGGGGCGGCTCAGATTACTGCGGCCCGCCCCCTCCGCGTCCCCCTCTCCCTCCCGCCCCGCCCCGTGCAGTGGGGTGTGTCCACTCCAAGACGGACTGGCCGGGACGGCTGTGCTACCCAGTGTATGTACGGTACTGCCGCGGGAATAGCACTGGCCGTGACGGAACAGCGCCGGTCACTCCTGGTATGTGGAGATGACGATCGAACCGTGATGTGCTCAGTAGGTGATCGATGACAACTGTCTGCCGTGAGACGGCTGAGAAGAGATAATAATAAAAATATGTGGATTTATTGGAGAAGTGTGTTTGTAAGTTGATTTTGGTTGATGTCGTACAGCGTTGCATAAGTTAATGGGACGAATTCATAGTCTAGTTTGATGCGTGTCTTTTACGCGTGCCACAGACAATCGCATCACCAGTTAATCGATAAGAACCAATGGACGCATATTATGGAGACGCATAGTTATCGTGGATTATCGAACATTGTAGCCCGAGCCGCGTTTCCTATGTTCCCAAGTTTCCCAGTTTCTTTTGTGTGCATGTAGGTATATGCATAATGCATTTGCATGACATTGCTAATTGACATTTTGCTTTAGGTGAATTGCCTTTTTGTGTCCCTTGTATGCGCATAAATGGCATTGCTTTGACTAATTTCGTTATCGGCATTAGCCAGTCGTATGTCCTAATAGCTCCGGTAGGACATCGAACAACGTTTAACCCGCGCCCCGTTGGGCTCTGCCGAGCAACGCGCCCCGTTGGGGGGGGGGGCATTTTGCCCCCCCCCCCCTAAGATCTCGAGAACCACGCAACGTAGCGACAAGCGGCAAACGGTGTTGGATAGCCCTATCAGGGAACTACCTTGTGACCCAATTTTATTGACCTAGGTCAAACCGATGACGTCACAGGTCAGGTCAGAGGTCCAATTTTCACCGTTTACAGGCATTTCAAGAAATGCGTTGTAAAATCGAGTAAAATGCATTTCATTGAAAATCATCGATGGGGAAATGTTCTTCAAACACATATTTTGCTAGTTGAGGTCAATGATACCAGGTCAGGTCACTGAGGTCAGGTCACTGGGGGGTCACAATATGAAAGTGTCGTGTGATACATGTTTTATGGTCCATTTTACATGACAAATGCGATTATGTGGGTCAGGCAGCCTTTGGGGCCAGCTTAGGTCACGTTTTGGTCAAGGTCAGGTCAAGGTCAGGTCAAGGTCAGGTCAAATAAGGTCAAATTTCAAAGTTGATATTTTTGCATAAAATGGGTATCGAATCGATGCAGCTCGTCACGGGGAGTTCAATTGTGGTCTTTGTTTTGCCGCACGAGGTCTAGAATCGCTAAAAATTGTGTTCAAAAATTTGACGTCATCATTTTTTAACAGTTTTTTCCCTATAACTTGGCCAAAAAACGAGATATCGATCTGAAATGTGGTATGTATATAGAAGAGCGCAGGGACTATCACATGTATTCCGGCTTTTTCGAAATTCGGAAAAATTTTGGATTTTTTTAAAGTTTTTCTAAAAAAAACAATTTTTTGAATTTTTTTGGGTCAAAAACCCAAAATTTTGAAAATCCGAGATAGCAGTTTTGTAGCGCCGCTTTTTGTCTATTAGACCATATAAAGAACTTTGAAATTGCTTGATAACTGTAGATTTGGTGAGCGTTTCAAGATTGCATGTTTTTTGCTCATTTTTGCTCGAACATGACCTCAGTTTGACCTCAATAACTCCTGACCTAAGGTGACCTAAGACTTGAAATTTGGTGTGAAGGTGTCAAATTGATGCCCGGAAAGGTACTGAAAATTTGGCGGCGCTGCGCGCCGCCGTTTTCTTGCTATTCAGGAAAAACCACAGGGGGGGGGGCCAAAATGCCCCCCCCCCCAACGGGGCGAGGGTTAATCAACGTCAAGCGTTCTAGGAACTCCGAGGCTCGATATCCGAATGGGTTCATGTGTAACTATGGAAAATGATCGAGCTTATCGACAGCGGTAACTGCTGCTCGCCGATACGCTAACGAGCGATAACGTTTCGTTCCTTTGTGATACCATTTGCTACTGCTGTATTAGCTGCATTAGGAGCGGCTAGCCAAAGCTCAATTCGTTGAGCCGTTTTTATGGACAGCCGCTCCGTGGTTCATGATAACCGTGTTCTGAAAGACGAATATCTAGCCAAGGGAATGATATCACTTAATGACCATCAATCATGGCCCAACGGCCTTTTAGCTGAGAGTAGTGCAGGACCCCTTTTGTATATACGTTTTAACGTATATCCATTATCTCTTTTTTTTTGTATATCCATTATCTCAATCAACCCGAACAATTGAGATGATCCTGTACGTTGGTAGCACTAGCATCGTTGATGGCGAGTGACAACTGAATAAGGACGGTTGAAGGACGGGTCAAACGAAAGCAGAAAGACAACACGGGACACTTCACACGGGCAGTACTATTAGTAAGGTCCCATTGCTTCTCATGCCCACTCAAGCAACTGCCCAATCAACGGCTGCACGTGGCTATTGCAAGTGCAACCTCTCAGGCGGCATACATTAGTTCCCGTTACGGCCGCCAGGGGTGCTCTGTGATTGGTTGACTCGCACGGCGCGCGGGGGCAAGTCGGGTCCGTCGGCGCGGTGGCTGGGGATCTCGCTGCACGAGCGGCTCGTCGGCGCAGGGGGCCTTGAGCTGTGTGTCAGTCGGGTCGGCCGGTCAGTCGGCCACTGCGGTCCCTGGGCGAAGGAGGGGCACGTGTGCTGTGTCGCCGGACTGAAAGGTGCGTGGTAGGGTAGTGAGTGGGCTGGCTCGGGGAGGTGCTCGGAAGAGGTGTTGATCAAGGTGTCGGTGTGGACTGGAGACGGTCATTACAGAGAGGACGCCGGATAAGGTGAGTTTGGATACAAATGTATGTCTTCATTTGTAGTCAGCTTGGGATTATGACGACAGAAATAAGGAGATTGTTTTCGCCGACTTCTAATGAACCTGAAAAGGCGAGAGGTGCTAACATGAAGCTTAGCTTTGTCTGCAAGCGCCAAGCACTAACAATCTAATTCTGCAGCGGCCCGGCTATAATATCATGAACAGACCGCGCCGAATAGCTGCACATCTGTCGGGCGGCCGCCCCTTAGGCGTACCCTGACCTCCAGGAAAGGTCAGATCGGTCGGGATCTGTACTAGGCCGGCCGTCAGTTCTCAAAGGGTGGCCCGTGTCTCAGTCTCGTTCCCCTCAGCCCGGCTCAGACGCCAGCGGACTGGGTCGTGTCACCGCATTGCGTGTGGGCGGCGGGCACGGAAAATCCTATCCTGATGGCACGGCACGCCTCCTTTGGACGGGCTGCAGATGCTATAGATCCGTTCGTGAAGCGTTAGGTGGCATGCAAGCAGAATGGCCACCTATTTGCGGTCGGTCTTTCTGTCGGTGCACGCCTTTAGGATGGGAACGACACAGAATAGTGAGAATGGGGCTGGCGAAACTTTCGCCCTGTTCGGGGAAGGTCGTTCCCCCTGGTTATTGGTACACTCCGTCTGCACGGTGCAACACATGGAGCCCGGGTGGGCGAGAGAACGTGTAAAGGTAACTATATCCAAAAGTGCCTTCCTAGAATTGTAGTCCCACCCACGGGCGCGGGAACTACTTTCCGACTGGGGGGGGGCAGACCATAATAGAGATCAACCTAGGGTACCCCCAAATCTAGTTTTCTCACCGGTTTTAGGCCACTTATTTTTCACCCCTCGGCTTTTTCAACAAAAAAGAAAACATTTGCAAAAAAAGTGTGGTACATAGGCGCGGGAGCCGGGGGGGCAGTGGGGGCAGCTTGCCCCCCCAACTCTGGGGCCGTGGGGGCGGTGCCCCCACAGCTTTGAGACGGAATACCACACTTTTTTTGCAAATGTTTTCTTTTTTTGTTGAAAAAGCCGAGGGGTGAAAAATAAGTGGCCTAAAACCGGTGAGAAAACTAGATTTGGGGGTACCCTAGGTTAATCTCTATTATGGTGTGCACCCCCAGTCGGAAAGTAGTTCCCGCGCCCCTGGTGTGGTATTCCGTCTCAAAGCTGTGGGGGCACCGCCCCCACGGCCCCAGAGTTGGGGGGGGCAAGCTGCCCCCACTGCCCCCCCGGCTCCCGCGCCTATGGTCCCACCCTGGCATCGCGATAACTAATTTCACTCACATATGGTCCGATACAGTTTTCGACAGCTAGTAGGCCTGGCGCGATTGTGCAGTATCTTATCGTGTTTGTTTTGCCCCAAATCCGGGCCGGCGGGTGTGCCCACACCATCCCCTCCCCTTCCCTCCCTTCGGGCCGCGGTAACGAATGCGACGTTACCCATGGGAACGTTCCCTTCAGCAGCTGCAGCTGCGGTAGAAATGTGTGACTCCCGACTCCGCGCCTGGCGCCAGATCGTGAACAAAGAGCTGAAGAGACATTTGCCTAATTAGGTTTCTTGTGTGAGGAGAAGTCGAGCTATCTTTAGAAGCAAAGGTCACTCGAAGCAGCGTTTCCGAGTAACATTAATAATATTTCAGAAACGCGACATGACAGCTTCTGCTGTCTTCTGTAGCAGACGTTTCCTAGAAGTCCCTCAATCCTCACTTTGGTGACTCGTGATATGCCACGTGTAGTTGCATTGGAATTTTGAAAAAATAGGTAGACATGTAGACTCGGGCTTGGGCTGGTATTATTTTACCATATATACGAAACATCGCTGATACGTCGTGACATTCATTAATTTGTCATTACCATATTCCGAAAGCCTTTGCTTTTCGTTATCCGCTCGCTATCTCTGTGCATCATTTATTGCGCTGGTATGTTAGCACTTGCTATATTGGAGTGCTTCTAACGTACAAAGGACGAATCGTTATCATTTATTGATTCATAGATAGTAGTTGCCACTTGATAGCGTTGGCTACTGCATACCTACCGGACACATGTTCTCACTGGCGGTCGCAGCCGCTAGCAAAAGGGGGGGCCAAAGTCACACTCGCGGGACATAACATTTATCCGTCACCGGGAGGGGGGGGGGGGGGTGATCGGCTAATTTTTTACGTCCACGAGGCGCCGCACAGTTGGCATTACTTATGCTTCATCCATCTCATTCTTGCGTGAAATCTTTGAGCGCTTAAGGCAAAATCACCAGTTCCATTTACCGTCTCACGGTGTGCCCACCGGTCGGGCCGCTGCACCGTCCATGACGACGGATCGGTGTAGCATAGGTATACTGGAAGGTCAGGCACGCGGATTCATGACCTTAACACTATAAAACAATTTGGAAAAGCACAGATACATCTTGCTAAAAAGTACAGAT